TTGAAATTTACACAAAGCGAAGGAGGTTTACCAAGTTACTTGTCTTATGGCCAGCCATAGCAGCAATTAGAATATTCTCTATATCTTGATTAGCCTTCTCAACACTACTTTGCGATTGGCTGTGCTGCGGCTTTCCATGGAAGAACTTGCATTCTGGTCAACGTCATAAGAGTTCTTTTAAAACTTTATTTTCAAATTATCTGCCTTTGTCTGTATGCAAAATACTCGGAGCATCAAATATGCAGAACATTTTGTAAGCTACTTCAGTGGGCGTTTTTTATTTTTAAGGTCGCAACTGAACAAATTTTGTAAAATGATCTTGAAATGCATGTAGTTTCCATCTGGTTGCCATTGATAGTCAATAAGGTCAATCTGACACCTATACATAAAGTTGTTTGAATGTATAGGTTTCACAACTATCTTTCTACGAGGGTGGCTTGAAGAGTCCGTGAAAAGTCAGAGAGAGGGCACTACTGGTGCGCATAAAAGCTATTTTCAGTTAGTAGCATCTCTTGGAAGAACACACACCAAGTTTCAGCCAGATCGGTTTATTTGTTTGTGTTTGGCGTTCGTTTGAATCGAAGAAGTCGAGAGATTTTCGAAATATGTACGAAAAAGAATCTCGCGTGCTGATTAAACATTATTTTATGAAAGGCAAATCGCCTCAGGAGACTAAAGAGAAACTTAATGAACATTATGGTGACTTTGTACCTTCTATCAGAACAGTTTAAGAGGTTTCAAAATTTCCGAGGTGGCCATGTGACGCAAAACGTTCTGGACGCCCTGTTTCGGCCACTACTCCAGAAATCATTGATAAAATCCATGATATGGTGATAGATGCCAGAAGAGTGAAGGTGCGTGAGATTGCTAGTGCTGTGGGCATCTCGAATGAACGGGTACATAATATTTTGCACCAACATTTGGGCATGAAAAAGTTATACGCAAGATAGTGAAGAGGTGCCGCGATTGCTTACGATTGATCAAAAGCGATATCGTGTGAGGTGTTGCATGGACGGTTTGCAACTGTTCCAGCGGAATTCTCAGGACTTTAAGCGTAGTTTCGTGACTGTGGATGAAACATATAAAACACCACTATACTCCTGAGACTAAAGAACAGTCCAAACAGTGGGTTGGCAAGGGGGAATCTACACCAAAAAAGGCGAATACAGTTCCTTCGGCTGGGAAGTTTATGGCAACTGTCTTTTGGGATTCGCAAGGAGTAATCTTCATTGATTATTTGGAAAAGGGTAAAACTATTACACGCGCATATTATTCATCGTTATTGGACCGTTTGCAAACCGAGCTACAAGAAAAAACGTCCACGATTGGCCCACAAAAAAGTTCTTTTCCATCATGATAACGCACCAGCTCGCACATCAGGAGTTGTGGCTGCAAAACTGATAGAAGTAGTTTCAACTCGTTCCACATTCCCCATATTCTCCAGATTTGGCTCCTTCGGACTATTACTTGTTCCCCAATCTGAAGAAATGGCTGGCGGGAAAAAGCTTTTACTCAAACCAGGAGGTGATTGCCGAAACGAATGCCTATTTTACAGACTTGGACAAATCCTATTATTCGGAAGAACAAACTAGAGCATCGTTGGACAAAGTGTATTAGTCTAAAAGGAGATTATGTTGAAAAATAAAAATGATATATCCTAAAAAATTAAGTCCTTTTCATTTTTGCATGGACTTTTAAAACCATCCTCGTAGTTTTAACAGATTTTTTAGTTCACGGTCTTCAAATAGTGACAAAAATTGAAACAGTTTCCCTACTGACAAATAAGCACTTTAAACTGATTTCTTTGATCATTCGGTCTCGACCTGCATGACCTGTGGAAATATGAGCTTGTAATAAGATCTCATAAAGCTCTTCATTGCATGATACAAACAATGTAGCATCATCTGGGGACTTCCTCAATTTTATTAATTCAAGAGGTGCTCTTACCTTTACTTCGAATATGCAATAGAAAAATAAATAATGCTAATTAAGCGAATTCTAGTGTCGTTACATAAGTTAAGATAAACCGACCTAAATGTGTACATACCGTTTTTAATTCTATAATACTTGCTGCTTTCCGCCAATTGCACCTTTCTCAG